ACGTAACGCGCCTTGAAGACAGGCGGAGAACCCGGCGGCCGCTTCACCTTGAAGATCCACATGCCACTGACGATGTTCGCCCCAGGAGGGGGGACAGCGTCAACGTAGGTGCCTGTGGACTTCCAGGAAGCCATCTCTGCATCCATAGCTGCCTGCCACTGAGAGGAGTAGGGACCCTCTATCGCCTGCCACTGGGGGGGACCTGGTACCAGGAAGAGTGGGGGTGGGGGGAGGGACGGAGTGCGGTAGGGGAAGAGGCGGTAGTAGGGGACCGACTCGTCAAACGTGACGTCCTGGGAGGACAGAACACGGCGAGAGGTGGGGTGGTAAAACTGCCACCCAGGCGCGTCAGGGGGGAACCCCAGAAAGACGCAAGGAGCAGCACGAGGGGATAGTTTGTCCGCAGACAGGTCGCGGACAAACGCCCGAGATCCCCAGACCCGGAACGCCGACGCATCGCCAACCTTCCCCGTCCACAGCAAGGCTGGGGAGGTCTCCGGCCTGGAGACCCTGGGGTGGAGGTTGATCTGATGCGCCGCGTACCTCACCGCAAACAACCACAGAAAATGGGGGGCAGCCGCATGCATCATAGACGTACGAGCGACGTCCATGACCATGCCAATGCGGCGCTCAGCAATCCCATTTTGCTGCGGTGAGTCCGGAAGCGTGAAGGTCTGACGGATGCCCCGTGCACGACAGTAGGCACGCAGAAGGCCAGAGGAGAACTCTCCGCCTCTGTCCGAGTGCAGACGCAGAACAGGAAAGTCCGAGCCGAAGCTCTGCCTGAGCTGGAGACGAGCTGCGCGGATCCAGTCGATCAGCACCTCAGTGACATCACCCTTGCTGCGCAAGGGGAAGACTGTGGTGTAACGCGAGTAGTCGTCAACAACGAGCAGGAAGTAGCGCTCGTGACCCTGTCCACGGACGCGGGCTGGGCCCCACACGTCCATGTGAAGTGTCTGCAACGGGGCCTCTGTCGGAGGAAACTGGGAGGAGTGAGGGGCAGCACGCAGGCGCCCCTCGACACAGGGGACACAGGCAGGGCCAGGGCCCTGAGGAAGGGGAGGGAGGGACCGGGGGAGACCGGACACAAGAAGACGGGAGGCCATACCTCTGAGCCGAAGCAGAGAGGGGTGGCCAAGGCGGTGGTGCCAGAGGAGAGTCTCGTGAGACAGGAGACGACACGAACAGGGGGCAGACTCAGGACCAGACCTGGACGCCGCAGCAAACACCTGACCCGACGTAACTACCCTACCAGACTCAGCAACTGGAGGAGACGCAGTGGTCAGAGTGTACAGGCTCGACCCCGGCTGACGGGTGAACGTAGCCAGGTGTCGGCCTGTGCCAGCCTCTGTACAGTGGGTCACTCTCTGACGTGCAGGAGTGAACTGGTGGACCCCCGCATCCTGTAGGTCAGCACCACTCACCAGGTTCGTAGAGAACGAGGGGAGGTAGAGACCAGACAGGGTGCCAGAGGGAGCCGCCGGACACGGGAGGACTGTGGAGAAGCGAGACAGGACAGGACCCCCAGAGGGGTCAGCCAGAGACACTGCAACCGGTCGACTCAGCGGTGTGAGTGTGGTGCGGTCCCGAAAGAAGGAGCGAGACGCCCCAGAGTCAAGGGTGAAGGTGAGGGAGGCCGAAGCCGACGCAGTACCTGAGAGCGCAGACTCACCAGTACATGAGGACGCAGACACACGAGCACCTAGAGCAGCAGCGTCGCAAGCACCTAGGGCAGCAGCCTCACCAGGACCTAGAGCAGCAGTCTCAATGCCCGGATCGGGCGGGAAACACCGGTAACAGTCACCCTCATCACTAATAGACACAGCATACATGGCAGAGAGAATAGCATCAAAGTCAAGATCATAGATGGCAACACCCGCCCTAGACAGCTCGCCCCAGCGAGGGATCTCGGAGGCCTCCGGGAACTGGTGACGCCACGCGTCCGTCAGGCGGCCAAAGCAGCGCTGGGTGGGGTGGGCACCCCCACACCGCTCACCCGCACGGTCGCCAGTGCGCAAAACGTAGGAGCACGGACCAAAACCCCCACCCCGCTGACGCGCAGTGTACCACTCACGAAGCTGCTGAGGGGACAGGGTGTCACGACCACGCTGCTGCTGCTGGCGCGAGCCACCACCGGAGCCACTCCTCTGCGAAGACCCGCGACCAGCACCACCGCCACCCCCGCCGCCTCCAACGCCTCCGCCGCCTCCGCTACTGCCGCCGCCTCCGCCTCCGCCGCCGCCTCCACCTCCGCCACCTCCGCCACCTCCGCTCCCACCGCCACCGCCGCCGCCACCTCCACCTCCACTGCCGCCACCGACCCCTCCACCCCCACCTCCACTCCCACCGCCACCCCCACTCCCCCAACTGCCGCCACCTCCACCTCCACCGCCCCCGCTCGCTCCTCCAGCACCCTTGCCCCCCTTGCCCTTGCCAGAGCGGCGTCTCCCGCTAGGGGCAGACGCCGCACCGACCGACTCAAGAACAGGGAGGTCGGCCGCAGCAGCAGAGGCAACAGAGGGCAGAAGGGTGGAGGGGGAACACCCCTCAAAGATGGGGGTGCGCGGGTCACCACGAGAGGCCCCTACAGCGACTATGCTCTTCTCGGCCGCTAGGAGGGACTTCTCGAGGAGGTCAACAGTGAGAGTGGTGGGACAGACAGAGAGAAAGTGGTCCCTGACTACGCGAAGGGAGTCAGGAAGGCGAGTGACTATGTAGTAAAGAGTGATGTACATGGGGGGGGGGTTCCTGGCGCAGAAGTCAGGAGGGAGTGCAGCGCGGTAGCGAGTGTCACTAGTGCGGAGGTGCGTAATGAGGTCAGTGACTGTGGGAAAGGCAGTAAGATCAGGAAAGAGGTACGGTAGCATGAGACGGCTCAGTGCAACAGTGGCAGGGGAGGAGTAGCGCGCAACTACAGCGTCGTACAAGGTCTGAGCACTCTTGTACTGACTAAAGTGCGCACGCTCGGAGGTAGGGAGGTGGCGACGCACAGCAAGACGTGCAGCAGCGTCGCGCGTGGCCCACTGGGAGCGAACAGTGGCGTCAGCATCAGCAGCAGGGGCAGTGGAGGTGCCAGAGGTGAGGTCAAAGAGAGAGAGGCCGTCTGCCCTATCGCACTGTAAGAACAGCTGCAGGTCATCTACCCAGACATCAAAGTCAATGGCCCTACCCTCAGCGTCAAAGGCGAGAACACTAGGGGTAGCCATGACCCTAGACGACTAGCAGCGCAAACAGTGGGGTGAGGACAGTGCAGTGAAAAGGCGCTGTGCTCACCAGACTGGGCAGGTCGGGCGGCCCTGAAGGAGGGCGGCGCGGCGGCTCAGCGGCTCAGCTGCTGGGCGGCCCGGCGGCTCGGCGGCTCCGCTGCTGGGCGGCTCGGCTGCTGGGCGGCTCGGCTGCTGGGCGGCGCGGCCGCTGGGCGGCTCGGCTGCTGGGCGGCTCGGCTGCTGGGCAGCTCGGCTGCTGGGCGGCTCGGCGGCTCGGCTGCTGGGCGGCTCGGCTGCTGGGCGGCTCGGCGGCTCGGCTGCTGGGCGGCTCGGCTGTGCTGCTGCAGGGCACGGGGCCGCAGGTAAGGGCGGCGGGGCCGCTGGTAAGGTGGCGGGACCGCAGCAGAGGGCGGCGGGGCCGCAGGTAAGGGCGGGGCCGCAGGGAAGGTGGCGGGGCCGCGAGGAAGGGCGGCGGGGCCGCTAGGTAGGGCGGCGGGGCCGCGCGATGGGGCGGCGGGGCCGCGCGATGGGGCGGCGGGGCCGCGCGATGGGGCGGCGGGGCCGCTAGGTAGGGCGGCGGGGCCGCTAGATAGGGCGGCGGGGCCGCGCGATGGGGCGGCGGGGCCGCGATGGGGCGGCGGGGCCGCTAGGTAGGGCGGCGGGGCCGCGCAATGGGGCGGCGAGGCCGCGAGGTAGGGCGGTGGGGCCGCTAGGTAGGGCGGCGGGGCCGCTAGGAGAGAGGCGGCGGGGCCGCGAAGACGGACGGCGGGGCCACGGAGACGGGTGGCGGGGCCGCAGTGCAGGGCCGCTAGGGCGGCTCGACGAAGTGAGGGCCCGAAGCGCGACTCGGGCTGAGCGCGCTTCGGGCAGGAAAAAAAAATCGATGTGGTGGGCCCTAAGCACAGTTCCCAAGGGGGAACCTGCTCGATACCATGAGAAGATTTGAACAAGAATGGATGAACTATGAAATGAAGTGAGTACAAATATGAAACCCTAATTGGTAGTACCCCCTATGGGATACCCCACTATAGCCTACACAACAGCATAAGCTATAATGTTCTGACAAGTCGCTGTATACTTTCTGGAGCTTTTCGTAACGGTTGGTACTTGGCTCAAGGAGCTTGAAAGGCTGGTGTGTCAGAGCAGCTTCAGGTCAGATGTCGCAGTCAGTGCGGCGAGTAGTGTTGATGGGAACAGGGGTTCCATCAGGGCGGAGGAAGGTTCCGAGGATGAATACTTCGGCGCGGATGCAGTTGTTGAGAACTTCATGTGAGGGGTGACCGAGGCGTTTGTGCCAGAGATCTGGGTGCGCGCGGATGGCAGGTGAGCGTGCGTAGAAGGCGAGCAGCTCGGTGATGTTGGTAGGAGGAGGCTGTGGGATTGGCTGTGGTGAAATGGAGAGTCCAAGGGCGAGGATAAGGTTACGAGCGGTAGGCTGTGGGGCTGGTTCCACTGTGGCGATGGCAGCAAGTGGTGCTGTAGGGACATCTGTGTCAGCTGTTTCTTCAGGGAGGTTTGGGCGTGGCATGTGGTGAGGTGGGAGTCCCTGTATGGTGGATGGTTCCTCGGTTGTTGGGTCATGGGGACCGATTGGTGTGGATTCAGTTGGGAGTGGGCTGTGGGGGTAGCGTCGGTATGGTAATATGGTATCACGATCGATAGGAGGTGCTGAGTGTGTGGATGAGGCCCAGGAGTTACTTGAGGGTGAGTTTCCTGAGGGGGGGATGCCGATGGGGCGTGGGGACCCATAGGGCCCTGCAGCTTCTTCAGCTGCTTCCTTCTCTGTTCTTGCTATGAAATCCTCGATGGGCTCCTCTTCCTCCTCTTGTTGCGCAGCCCCCCAGGTTCCTGCTCCCCAGTCTGGTGCGGTTCCTCCCCAACCTGTTACCAAGAGCAGCAAGAGTAGTCCTCAGTGTGTCGTGCCACTCACGGGGTGCCTGACGGAGACCGTAGACTGGCCGCCGGAGGCTCCACTGGGTACCAGGAGGGAACGACCCAGTGAAGCCAGGTGGGCGGCGCAGCCAGATCTCCTCGTGCAGGGTGCCCTGTAGGAACGCAGTGCTGAAGTCAAGGCAGTGGAGCTCATAGTCACGCTGAGCAGCGACGTGCAGCAGAACCCGAAGAGTGGTCATCTTTGGGGTCGGGGAGAAGGTCTGGAAGAAGTCAACTCCCTCTCGCTGACTGAAGCCTCGTGCAACGTAACGCGCCTTGAAGACAGGCGGAGAACCCGGCGGCCGCTTCACCCTGAAAATCCACATGCCACTGACGATGTTCGCCCCAGGTGGGGGAACCTCGTCGACGTAGGTGCCTGTGGACTTCCAGGAAGCCATCTCTGCGTCCATGGCTGTCTGCCACTGAGAGGAGTAGAGACCCTCCATCGCCTCTGCGTAGGAGCGTGGGGTCGGGATGTCTGGTGCATCCGGGTCTCCCTCAGGGGCAATCAGCATGGACACGAGATGAGGTAGAGCAGCAGCAAAGCACTCAAACTCCTCCTGTTCTGTCCTCAAGGACGTCCGTGCCAAGAGCACACTCACCCCCGACGGACGGAGGACAGACAGACTCAGACTCAGCAACAAGGCTAGCGGCGTAGTCTAGACGACAGGCGGCAGCAAAGTCAACAAGCTCAGCGACTAGAGCAGACGCAGCAGAGGACTCAAAGGTAGGGTCAGTGACAACAGTGGCAAGGAGACGCGCGCCAGTAGGACTGGCAGCACGAGTAAGGTCTGACGGCGGGTCAGCAACGTCAGGAAGAGAGGACGCAGGAGGAGACGGCAGAGGGACGCGCTGTGGAGCAGTGGACGGACGCAGGGTCATATAGTGAGTGCCAAGGACAGGAGGAGGACGCTGACGCGGAGCACGACGACCAGCGTGGACAGCCCGGACAGGCGACTCTGGACGCGACACAGGCGACTCCGGACTAGACTCAGGCGACGGAGGACGAGACTCGGGCTCACGACGCTCAGTAAGACTACCCGTCGGCGCAGTGTAAGGAGAAGGACCAGGCAGCGGAGAGGCAGGCTGTAACTGTGACTAGGACTGGACAGGCGGTGGACTCAGTAGGGGAGGAGTAGGACCAGTAGAGGGCGGGAGACCAAGAACCTGCTGAAGGAGCGGAACGTAGTACGGCCGCGGCCGCTCAACAATTCCAGCTCCAACCCCCGCAGCAGCTCCAGTCCCAGCAGCTCCAGCACCTCCAGCAGCTCCAGCAGCACCGCCAGCAGCAGCAGTGCCTCCAGCAGCTCCAGCACCAGCAGCACCTCCAGCAGCTCCAGCAGTACTAGCACCAGCAGTACCAGCAGCACCTCCAGCAGCTCCAGCAGCACCTCCAGCAGCTCCAGCAGCACCAGCACCAGCAGCACCAGTACCAGCAGCACCTCCAGCAGCTCCAGCAGCACCAGCACCAGCAGCACCTCCAGCAGCGCCAGCAGCACTAGCACCAGCAGCACCAGTACCAGCAGCACCTCCAGCAGCTCCAGCAGCACCTCCAGCAGCTCCAGCAGCACCAGCACCAGCAGCACCAGTACCAGCAGCACCTCCAGCAGCTCCAGCAGCACCAGCACCAGCAGCACCTCCAGCAGCGCCAGCAGCACCGCCAGCAGCAGCAGCACCTCCAGCAACTCCAGCAGCACCTCCAGCAGCACCGCCAGTAGCAGCAGTGCCTCCAGCAGCTCCAGCAGCTCCAGCAGGACCAACACCAGCAGCACCAGTACCAGCAGCAGCTCCAGCAGCTCCAGCAGCACCAGCAGCACCTCCAGCAGCGCCAGCAGCACCGCCAGCAGCAGCAGCACCTCCAGCAGCTCCAGCACCAGCAGCACCTCCAGCTGCAGGGTCCATGACACTAGTAGCGCCACTCCGGAGACTGCAGCGACGAGCGTACCACTCTCGGAGCCGCTGTGGAGAGGGCAGCTCCCGCCTAGGAGGGGAAGCACGAGCACGAGCTCCAGCAGCACCTCTCCTGAGGCTGCAGTACTGTAAGTACCACTCACGTAGCTGCTGTGAGGAAAGAGCGCCTCCAGGTGTAGCACTCTCAGTCGCAGCACCCTCAGGCTCAGCACCCCCAGACTCAGCACCCCCAGACTCAGCACCCGCAGGCTCCGCAACCCCAGGCTCCGCACCCCCAGGCTCCGCACCCCCAGGCTCCGCACGCTCAGGCTCAGCATCCCTAGCAGGACGAGAGTCGACAGCTACCTCGACAGGCTCAACCGGGTCTACATGGGACACACCTGAGGGAGCGGCACCCTGAGGGGGGAGGGGGTCTACCACAGCAGCACCTGGCGCGAGGAAGAGAGGCGGGGGGGGGAGCGGGGCAGTGCGGTAGGGGAAGAGGCGGTAGTAGGGCACCGACTCGTCAAAAGTGACGTCCTGAGAGGGCAGGACACGGTGCGAGGTGGCGTGGTAAAACTGCCAACCAGACGCGTCCGGGACAAAGCCAAGGAAGACACAAGGAACAGCGCGGGAGGAGAGCTTGTCCGCGGACATATCGCGGACAAAAGCTCGAGATCCCCAGACCCGGAAACGCGACGCATCGCCAACCTTCCCCGTCCACAGCAGTGTGGGCGAGGTCTCCGGCAAGGAGACACGGGGCCAGAGGTTGAGCTGATGCGCAGCGTACCGGACCGCAAACGGCCACAGAAAGTGGGGGGCAGCCGCATGGATCAAGGAGGTACGAGCGACCTCCATGACCAAGCCAATGCGGCGCTCAGCAACCCCATTCTGCTGTGGAGAGGCCGGAAGCGTGAACGACTGCTCCGCTGCCGCCACCGCTGCCACCAGAGCCGCCACCGCCGCCACTAGTCCCACCGCCGCCACCACCACCACCGCCTCCACCTCCTCTACCGCCGCCCCCACTACCGCTCCCACTTCCACCTCCACCACCACCGCTGCCTCCTCCACCACCCCGGCCACCCTTGCCCTTGCTGTTGCGGCGCTTCGCACTAGTCGAAGCAGCACCGACGTCCTCAGGAACTGAGACGTCTGCGGCAGCAGCAGAGGCGAAGGAGGGGGGAAGGGGGGAGGGGGAGCACCCCTCAAAGAAGGGCGAGCGCGGAGTGCCACGAGCAGCACCTACAGCAACTGCACTAGTCTCAGCTGCGAGGAGATGCTGCTCGAGGAGGTCAACAGTGAGGGAGGTGGGGTCGAGGGTGAGGAAGTGGTCCCTGACAGAGCGAAGGGAGTCAGGGAGGCGAGTGACTATGAAGTAGAGGGTGCCCTCCCCCTGACAGAAGGCCCTCAAGAGGTCGGAGGAAAACTCCCCACCTCTGTCAGAGTGCAGACGCAGGACAGGAAAGTCCGAGTGGAACCTCTCTCTGAGCTGGAGACGGGCAGCGCGGATCCAAGGGATCAAAACATCAGGGACTTCACCCTTGGTGCGCAAGGGGAAGACCGTGGTGTAGCGCGAGTAGTCGTCAACAACTATCAAGAAGTACCTCTCGTGACCCTGTCCACGAACGCGGGCTGGGCCCCACACGTCCATGTGGAGCGTCTGCAGGGGAGCAGTCGTCGGGGGAAACGAGGAGGAGTGAGGAGCGGCGCGCTGCCGCCCATCGACACAGGGAAGACAGGGAGGAGCAGGCGAGGGTGGGAGGGGAGGGAGAACCCTGGGAAGACCAGAGACAAGGTACCGGGAGTGCATGCCACGAAGGCGCTGCACTGACGGGTGACCAAGGCGGTGGTGCCAGAGGACGGTCTCGTGCGCCAGAGAGCGACACGAGCAGGGGGCCGACAGCTGACCTGACGAAGACGCAGACGCTGCTACCTGAGGGGACTCAGTGGTCAGTGTGTACAGGTCCGACCCCGGCAACCGAGTGAAGGTAGCCAGGTGGCGACCCGTCCGAGCACACGTGCAGTGTGTCACGCGCTCGTAGGCAGGGGTGAACTGGTGGACACCCCCGTCCTGGAGCGCCCTACCCGCCACCAAGTTCGTAGAGAACGAGGGGAGGTAGAGACCTGACAGTGTGCCCGACGGGACCGCAGGACAAGGGAGAACAGTAGAGGAGGTCGCAATCACCGGACCCCCAGAGGGGTCAGCGAGGGAGACTGCAACCGGCCGAGCAAGCTGCTCAAGGGCAGTGCGGTCACGAAAGAAACAGCGGGAAGCGCCTGAGTCCAGTGTGAAGGTGTGCAGTGCCTCAGTAGACGCAGTACCAGAGGGCGCAGACTCACTAGTACCTAGAGCAGCAGCCTCACCAGCACCTGGGGCAACAGACACACTAGCACCTAGAGCGGCAGCCTCACCAGCACCTGAGGCAACAGACACACGAGCACCTAGTGCAGCAGCCTCACCAGTACCTAGAGCAGCAGACTGGATACCGGGGTCAGGCGGCACACACAGGTGACAGGCACTCTCAGCACTAGTAGACAATGCATACATGGCAGTGAGGATAGCATCATAGTCAAGAGCATAGATATCTTCCCTCTGCCTAAGCAGCTCCACCCAGTCGGGGAGCTCAGCGTCGTCGCCAAACTCTGTACGCCAAGCGTCGCCCAGACGGGCGAAGCAGTGGGACTCTGTGTGACCACGTGTCCCGCAAGGCTGACCAGTCCGGACACCTGTGCGAATGACGTACGGGCAGCGAGCAGTACTCAGTGACCCTCTACTCTGAGCGTACCACTCACGAAGCTGCTGGGGCGAAAGAGCCTCGCGTAGACGACGCTGCTGCTGCACCGGGCCACTACAAGAAACTCCCGAACTACCCACTCCAGGACGACTCCCACGACTGCCACCCCGACAACCCCAACTGGCGTACCACTCACGAAGCTGCTGGGGCGTGAGGGACACACGCGGACGGCCCTGGAGTTGCATCTGGCCACGCCAGAAGCAACAGTAGAAGAAGTAGCAGCAGCAGTAACAGCAGTAGCAGCACGGGCAGGGCAGTGCTCACCAGTGGTGGGAAGGGCAGGCGCACGACGGAGGCGACTGCGGTGGCGGCTGCTCCAGGGGCTAGGGGCGGCTCCTGCAGTGGCGGCTGCTCCAGTGGCCAGGGGCGGCTGCTCCAGGGGCGCCTGCTCCAGTGGCCAGGGGCGGCTGCTGTAGGGGCGGCTGCTCCAAGGGCCAGGGGCGGCTCCTGCAGTGGCGGCTGCTCCAGTGGCCAGGGGCGGCTGCTCCAGGGGCGGCTGCTCCAGTGGCCAGGGGCGGCTGCTGCAGGGGCGGCTGTTCCAGGGGCCAGGGGTGGCTGCTGTAGAGGCGGCTGCTCCAGAGGCGGCTGCTCCAGGCGCGGGGTAGGTCAGGGCGATGCAGTGGGCAGGGGCGATGCGCGGGCAGGGCGACGCGGCGGGCAGGGCGACGCGGCGAGCAGGTGGCGACGCCGCGGGCAGGGGCGACTCGGCGGGCAGAGCGACACGGCGGGCAGGGGCGACGCCGCGGGCAGGGGCGACGCGTCGGGCAGAGCGACGCGGCGGGTAGGGGCGACGCCGCGGGCAGGGTGACGCGGCGGGCAGAGGCGACGCCGCGGGCAGGGCGACGCTGCGGGCAAGTGGCTACGCCGCGGGCAGGGCGACGCGGCGGGCGGGTGGCGACGCCGCGGGCAGGTGGCGACGCCGCGTGCAGGTGGCGACGCCGCGGGCAGGTGGCGACGCCGTGGGCAGGGCGACGCGGCGGGCAGGTGGCGACGCCGCGGGCAGGTGGCGACGCCGCGGGCAGGTGGCGACGTCGCGGGCAGGGCGACGTGGCGGGCGGCGAGGGCCTGTAGGGGCGGCGCGTGGTCGGGCAGAGGCTGCGCGCGGCCCTGACGGGTCTGCAGGGGCGGCTCTCGGGCCTGACGGGCGTGCAGAGGCGGCCCGGGGGCCTGACGGGTCTGCAGAGGCGGCTCGGGGGCCTGACGGACCTGTAGGGGCGGCTCGAGGGCCGTACTAGGGCAGCAGGAGGCAGCGCGAGGGCTGCAGGACGGCACGCAGGCACAACGAAGGGCGGGGCGCGCAAGGGCGGACTAGCAGGAAAAAGGGCGCACGACGGCGCACGAGCAGAGAAAGGCGCACGAGGGCGCACGTAAGGTAGGGCGCACGAGGGCGCTTCTAGCGGAATAGTGGGCCCGTAGTAGAAAGCGGTCCTAGGTGGCAACCTAGGCTCGTGATACCATGTTAGAATGAACAAGTGTGTGTGAACTAGCAGAAAGTTGGGTACAAGTAGGAAACCCTAAGTTTGTTGTACCCCCTAAGGCTAAACCCATGTAGCCTACACAATGTAAACATATAATGTTTGACAGCTTGTGGACGATTCCCTTCTCCTGCAGGTATGTTGCAAGCTTGTCGCTCTTGAACTCTGCTGCGCAGTCGGTTTGCCATAGCTTGAGTGTGCAACCAGACTGTGTCTCAGCGTTAGCGTGCCAGACCTTGAAGATGCCATACGCCTTGCTCCTGTGAGAGACGTTGGCGACCCAGACGAAGCGAGAGTGTACGTCGATGAAGGTGAGGGTGTATTCTTCGCCGTTGGTGCCTTTCTGTGTGAGAACCAGGAAGTCGCTGTATACTTTCTGGAGCTTTTCGTAACGGTTGGTACTTGGCTCAAGGAGCTTGAAAGGCTGGTGTGTCAGAGCAGCTTCAGGTCAGATGTCGCAGTCAGTGCGGCGAGTAGTGTTGATGGGAACAGGGGTTCCATCAGGGCGGAGGAAGGTTCCGAGGATGAATACTTCGGCGCGGATGCAGTTGTTGAGAACTTCATGTGAGGGGTGACCGAGGCGTTTGTGCCAGAGATCTGGGTGCGCGCGGATGGCAGGTGAGCGTGCGTAGAAGGCGAGCAGCTCGGTGATGTTGGTGGGAGGAGGCTGTGGGATTGGCTGTGGTGAAATGGAGAGTCCAAGGGCGAGGATAAGGTTACGAGCGGTAGGCTGTGGGGCTGG